TCTGGTCTGTGCCGTGCTGTTGGGGGCCCCAGAGCTGGATGCAGAACTGCAGGTAGGGTTGCACCAGAGCAGAGACCTGCTGGCCATGCTGCTCTGGATCCAGCCCAGGATATGGTTGGCTTTCTGGGCTGCCAGCGCACACGGCGTGCCTTTTTTTTTTTTTTTAAGATGTACAACCAGCTGCTGTAAGAATAAGAATACTTGTCTAATTCAGCTCTACCTCAAAGTACAATGCTCAGTGGCAGTTTCTAGATCCAAAGCTATACAAATGTATTGTAACCAATCTTGGACACAGGCCTAGGCAAACAAATTCTTGTACAGTATCCCAGGAATTTAAACTCTGTGCCTCTCACTGCATCTCTCAAGTGTCACATATTAGGATTATTAACAAAAGAAACAGGTGATCACACCAGCATAAATTGTACCTGAAGTGCACCGGGATTAAGCCAGTTTTAACATAAACTGGTATCAACTCTGAAAAACTCATCAACACAGCTGCCAAACTCCCATGGAGACAAGAACTGGCCAAACCTCTGTACAATCCAGGCAGCCACTAAACCTATTTTCGTATAGGAACTTCTACTTGGAGTAAAAAAGACACAACTAGCAGCTGATTCTCTACCTCGGTCGTTCTTCAGAGTACAACAGCCTTAGAGAAAGATTAGGTACCACACTGCAGCTCAAGGAAAGGTTCAGACCACATTCACACTATGCACACGCGCACTGAAAATACGTGAAGTTCTTTTCACGTTATGACATCCATATTATTTAGTCTCTGCCCTCATCTAATATGAATTACAAGAGCTCCACATGCATTCGTCTCAGAAGCCTAACAGACATTCAGAAAAAAAAAATGGATGGAAAAAGGGTCATGAATTCATGTAATGACTCCAGGTATTGAAGAACTGCAACTAACAAGCAATATGCAGTACTAATCCATAAGCACATTTAATATTGCAGGCAATCCCAAACAGACAATTCTTAGAAATTTTTCAAATGAAAGATCCCTGGAAAAGTGAGATTTATAAAAGGAAACAGGTAAGGTCACTGTGAACTCCAGAGCAGCTGCAATGAAAGGTTTCCAAGCACCAAGAGGGCTGGCCAGTGAGGCAAGCTAGAACGAAATGCAAGTCCCACTGGGGGCAGTTTCTGCCTGCACTCTTTGGGAATTCATGTAAGGGTGAGAATATCAATAGAAGGTCCCTTCCTACATACATACGTCCCGGTGAGCTATACATACACTGTAAGCTAAGCAACACTGAAGCACAGGCTTTGGCACTGTCCGGGGATAGTTCAGGCTATTAGGACTGTAAAAACATCTTCTGAGATTTTTAACCCCTGCCAACCAGCATACTCCCAAACTGTAGCTACAAACAGGGATTAATCAAGTCTGGGCACATTCCCATCAGGGAGCCGGGATACCATCATCCTCTTCTGAAGAGTGAGTAGTTAGGTTGTAGGAATGTGAGCCATGCTATGGCAGCTGGTTTGTGAGACTAAAAACAGTTTATACTCATAAATACAGCTACCTGTAGGTGTAGTCTGTAACTATAAAAACCAGGGACTGAGAAAGCCTGAGTAGGTCACCAAGATAAAATTGGATCATGTAGAAAGGATCAGATCAAGTTCAGTAATTAAATCCCTTTGATTATTAACAACATCATGAAATGAGGATAAACAATTCTTTAATGATGAAAACACAAAAACATACATTATGAGATAAAGACTATGATTCAGTCTTCCTAAATGACTTAAATAACCCAATTCCTGCATAAACAGTTTGGAAAAGCCACTTTTGCCACAATAAAAAGCAGGAATTTTTCTGACAACACTGTTGCCTCAGACACACTGGAATAAGAGTCACACCCCTCTCTCACTTGCAGAGAATTCCAGGTAGAGGACCAGACGGGCAGAAAAATGTCTTGCTTAAAGGTATCAGTGAGCAAACAAGATAAGTGGTTCTATTTAGACCTCCAAAATGCCTCATAGTTGACTCTGGAAAGGAAAAGGGGCTTTCCAGACGTCCAGTTTGGTCAGATACCCATCCCTTTCTCCAATAACCATGAGTCTTCTCCAACACAGAAGCAGCCCAAGGCACTCTAATGGTGTATAACCAGGACCATGGCTTATCGCTGAGTTTCCAAGACCTGGCATGGAGGTCAGAGATTTGACTCTTCCTGGGACAGCATTTTCTGCTCCTTCTGAGCTCAGAGGTTTTATTCCCAAGTGCAATACATTTACCGGTAGTGTGATCCCTCACAGACAACAACTCTTAGCTAGGGAGTCTGAGGCAGGAAAGTTACTGTAACATGAGGAGTAGAAATTGAACCTTCCTTTGGGACAAGTCACATCCACTCAAAACACTGTTTTCCCAAGATCAGGTTTTTTTTTTTTTTTTTTACCCAGTAAACCAAAGATTTAGTAAACAAGAAACAAAAAGAATAAGGGCAAGACACCACTATATCACTGACAGTAAAACAAGCAAACAAAAACCACAACAAAAAACACTATAAAATTTTTCTCCTTAAAGGCGCAGAGAGGAGAACCTGGCTTCAAAATATCTGAGTTAAAGATTTAGTTGGAGAGAGGGAGTATGAGGCAAGAAAAGAAGAGAGATCCATCTAAGCAAACTGGGCAATACAAATAGAGCATTAAGGTGCATAACACACCCATACTTCAAAATCCCCCTGTGATAGTGAAGGGCCCTGCTGTAGCATCTTATATGGCTGCTGGCTCCAGAATCATAATAAAGGCCTGCTTAATTAATAAAAGATCGTTAGCTGGTTGTTATCAACCATATTAGTGAAAAAGATCCAACCTAACTAATCCAGTGACATTGTTATCACATTCATTGCAGCAAATCACAGAGTCACAGAATGGTTTGGGTTGGAAGGGACCTTAAAGATCATCCAGTTCCAACTCCCCTGCCATGGGCAGGGACACCTTCCACTACACCAGGTTGCTCCAAGCCCCGTATTGTAGTTTATTAGATTAAATATTGTAGGTGAAGAGAGAGAAATGCTGTGTTAGCAGCCCTGTTTAAGGGCAAAGCCTTAGAAACTGAAGCCAAAAAGCCACACCCAAATTAAACCCAGTCATGCCAGACAACACAAGGGTTATACTCAAGGCAGATGTTGTAGATCGCATCCTAGGTATTTAAAAATAACCACGTGCCAACAGGGTTCTTGTCTCCTCAAAAGGAAACCCAGAGTATCTACTCTCTATGGACTGTTTCATGCGATCACCAGCTTGGATAGTAGTGTATTACCTTCTTCCTCTCTTTCTCCAGGGCTCTCCACTGCTCATAGCACTCCTCCAGTCGGATGTGAAGCTCGTTAGCAGGTCCGCTGCGATTTCTGGGAGGTCTGTACTTGGTAAATGGTGTTGGAAAGGCAAAATACGGTGCAGCTATTTCTCCGCAAAACAGATCGTTGATGAAGGGATTCAGGTGGTTAAAGTCATCATAACGAAAAAGGTCAACAAGTTCTGAGAATGGAAACGGTGGCGGCGGAAAACTGAAATGATTTGTTGATGAAAACAGGTGGTGATTAAATGGAGGAAAGCTGGGATTTTGCTTAAAATCAGACATTAATGGGAAAGAAGGAAGAAAAGAAGGATTAATGAAGTCTGACATGCTACCACCATTCTGTTCACGCTTTTTTCGGAACATATCGAACTGCTGACGGTTTGGGGTCGTGTATCCAAAATGAGGAATCCAATTCCTCCTGCCCCTCCTATCATCTTTATTACTATTTTCTTGGGTCTGCTTTTTGGGAAATCTGTGGTATTTTTCAGGATCTTCACTGACAGCATTCTGTTGCATTGCCCAGTCAGATGAAAAATTAATGGGGAATTTATGGTGTCGCCCCTCCTTATTGGTCAATGAATCGTGCTGCAGTCGTCCAATGGGTTTAATGTGCTTCTGATTTTCTGAGATGAAGTTAGGAACTCGCCAATGATTGGAAACACCGTTTGGTATTTGTAGCCTTCCATCTTTCCTTGAAGAGAGAACAGGTAAGATCTGTGAGTAGTAAGAGGACTGTGTTATAGACTGATGGGTGGGAGAACCGCTGGACATGGCTGAAACCCCTGAAGATGACCGTGGGCTTGTTACCACTTGTTTTCCATACGGGATACCCGATGTGGCTGCCGGACTTGGCGTTTTCCCATCCAGCCACGTATGTCCATGGTACGATGGGTAACTCCTGTTATCCATAACATTTTTTACGGATAAATCATATTCAGAAACTTTCTGAGAGCATTCTTTAGGACAGATATGGATCTGACACTCGTTATTATTGAAAGCATCCCCCAAAATAAAGCTCTGATGACCATTTGGCACATGGGTTTCCTGTGGTTTTCTGTTTGTCCTTCCAGAAAAATTATTTTCTTTAAGGGGTTGATTGAAAAAATATAGCGATGGATGAACAGGCGACTGCAACCTATGAGCAGCTGTGAAGTTTTCGTATCTTTTAGAAAATGAGTGGTTGTCCTGGGACGCTTTATCCCAAGAGTCATCAACAGGCTGATTGGAAAGATCAGGGGAATACTTAGCTTGTTCTTGAGCATCATTTTTCGTAACTTTGCCTCTTACTCTCTCCATTTTCCAGTACTCTTTCTGAATGCTTGTGCCTTCTCTCATTCTGTTCTGAGAAGAAAAACTGCTGAAGCTGGAACTGATTTTTTCACAGTCTCCATTTAACATAACGTGGTTGTAACTGCACAAATGCTGATTATAGTCCACATTTTGATATGAAAACCCTTGTTGATGAATTCTATTATTATTCTGCAAGGAGGAATTTTCAGGGTAACCGTTCTTCAGAATATGCTCAGGCTGAGTGCAAGGGCCAGATGGAGAAAGCCAAGACTCCAGGAGATGAAGATCTTCCAAACCTCTATGCAACATCTCCACATCATGAGACTTGTGCAAGTGTTCCTGATAGTAGTTGTGTGTGCCCATCAGGTTTGAAAAATCCTTACTTTCAACAGAGTGCTTAGATGAGAGGCCTGAAAAGTCACCATTGCTTCCCAGGTCAGGTGCCCATATAGGGGGAAACAATCTTGAAAGAGAATTCCTGTAACAAACAAACCTCCTGTAGTGACTTAACACATTTCTTGCATTAAAACAGTTCACATCTCACTGTTATGCCCTCCTGCCCCTCCATGCTTCCCCTGTCACTTTCTGGGCTAACCACACCACAGGCCTCCTCCAGAATATAAGTTGGAAGGAAACATTCTCGCTGCAGGTGAGTAAATGCTACGTGAAATCAGACTACCAACGCTGCTCTCTAATATTTAGAATATGTATATTTAGAACTACAGAGTTTATTTGGATTTATTAAATATTGTAGATTTTACTCTATTCAAACAATGCCTTACCTGTTAAAATTCTTTTTTACTGGCAACTGAAGTAGAGACACACATCTACATGACCAACCGATTACAAACTGGTTTATAAGACCTTTGCTACTCAACTGCGTGAAGTGTTTCAAAACGTGTATCATATCTATGTGACAAAAGGATGTGAAAAACAACATGCAACACACAAGAACTTTCAGAACAAGCTTACCAATCTGTAACTGGTTCTGGCTTGCTTGGCTCCTCTAAAATGCTTGACACTAGCCCAAACATATCAGGCCCATTGCCAGAATAGGAAAGGTTTATTGGTGTCCTGAAAAAAAAAGAAGAAAATAGCCTAAATAAGTCTTTTTCTTCTAAACGGAACAGCAAAAGGAAAAGTAAAGCATTAAGCCTTTCATTGATTTTAGCAGCATCTGCCAAGTTTTCTGAATTTAGTGTCCTCAGCACTCACACAAAGAAATCTCTTCCTGCATTCATGAATTCTGTAGCCTAAATGAAGTAGAACTATTTTCCTAACTTCTTGCTTCACCAGAGAATTCTCAAGCTGTTATGTGAAGAGACAGGAACAGCAAAAGATTTTTCTCTTTTCAATCAAAAGAACTATTTTTTACACATATACTCACATCTTGACTGTCTCCTTTAGAGGATAAATGTGATCAATCTTCACAATCTTGAGGATTCGAATTTATCTACTTACATAATACAAGAACTATTAGTCTCAAAAAAAAAAAAATTAACTCAAACCATTTTTTAACCCCGTTTTGGAAAGGAGTTGGTCACAACTTCATTAAATATTCCTGACAAATACCAGAGGCGTTCAACCATCACTACTCTCATACAGTCCCAACTTCTATCTTTTACTGCAGGTGCAAAATGCAATCTTTACAGAGCTGTCTGTAATGACACCTAAGTCTTACTCAGAAGTTAACTAAAACAAAACACTGTGAAGGTCTCCTTCCCTCTAACATGCATTGTTTTGCTTCGATAAATTCCACTTATCATCCCATATAAGTTCAGCTGATTGGTGTCGGTGTCCCTCAAGATCTCTTAGTCTTCCCTGGTGTCATCCAAACAACTACATCATCTGCTAACGCTGCCACATAATCACTCATGCTGACAGTGCAGATTAACACAGACTGTAAAACCTAGGCTAAACTACTGAGACTGTCATTTTGCTAATCTCCTGCTGCCGTGAAAATTAGCCACTTATGCCTTACCAGCCTTTAGTACCTCAGGACATTTTGACTTCTATCTTTTTCTGTGATTTAACTGATGACCATTCAGTTTCCACTGTAAGGAATCTGGTCTACATGATTTTGTTGAGGATACACGTAAGTGCAAGGATTCTTGAAAGGGTTTTATGAATGTACAATCATAACTGGAATTTGATAACCAGATTTCTTTAGTGTCTTTGACAGACGGCAAACTTTTTTTTAAGGAGGCCTATTTACTTCCAATTTCTGTAACCAAATGAAATCATAGATGAAAGCTTGTCTAGACAATGATGTTCAGCAAGGGAGAGAACAATTTACAGTGTGGCGTGGGAATTAAAAATAAAATTACTGGCCATTGTAGCACTGCAGACAAGGCAGCAGGAAGCTGGGTGGACTACAAAAAGAAAAAAATGCTAGACAACGACAAGCATAGACAGTAGCAAGTCTAAAAATGATTAAACAAATCTTACAGACTAGATGGAAGGGAGGTGAAAAGTTCAGCTGTTCCTCTGGTAGGCACACCAGAAGCAGTACAATGCAATTCAGGTCAGGAGAACCTGAATCCTTGACAAATTCTATTTGTTAATGCAGTCACGTGTTCAAATGAGGGACCAGAAACCACTGCTTCCCACCCCTTGTATCTCAAGCCAGTACTGTTCGCCACCAGCAATCTGAAAATCCTTGGTAACGCTATATGTCAGAAAGCTTCTTGTATAATAAAATCCTGATCCACCCTGGAAGGAAGATACTTCCCATGAAACACACTGACACGTATGGAAAAGTCAACTCCATTCTTGTCTCTTGGTCTGCAAATAAAATACCCTCTATCAAAACCAGGACAACCAAAGTTAAGAACCAAAATCCCAGTGTGACAGACATTCCATTTGCTCAGCTCCACAGTCAGCAGCTGTCATCCTTTTGAGTTTGGTACCAGAAAACACTTGCTGCAAATTCCTTTGATTCTGCAGCATCAAAGAATCAAATCTTTACCTTCCAGTGCCATAAGACAAATCACTGCCTACCAAGGCAGAGCAGCATGGAAAGAATCCATGAAAATAACCAGCATGGAGGCAAAACCCTACCAAATTGCTTGCAACTATACCAAACAGAACAGGAAGATCCAGCCTGACACCAAGCTCGTGGCAGTGAGTAAGCCTGTCCTGCAGAGGAAAAACAAGAAATAGGAACAAGAACCAAGACCTACAGCTCCTCACAAAACTAGAATAGTTTTGCAATAACCTAAAGGCTGCTTTTAAGAAGAGACTCTATATTTTAGTTAGTGGATTGCCACTCAGAGCATAAACTTAGCACTTACACCTAATACTAACGCTCTACAATCTTTTCTTGAAAACCAATATATTTAAAACAAATGTCACTGTGACACTTCCCAGGGAAGACTAGCAAAAAAAAAAAAATCATACTATTTAGCTTCTTTGCAATGCATGTATTTTCCTTACCTTTCAGCATCTTGTGAACCCGTGAACCACCATTTCTCCCCACTTCAAACCTCTCTCTTATTAGGCAAGTGATAACAAAATGCAATGAGACTGAGACTAGAAATGCAGCATCGTCATCAGTGGCCAAAGCTGCTGGGTCAGTCCATACCAACCAACCCCTAAAGGCAGCATTATACTGCCAGCACTTGGCATTAAGATGGAAAGAAGGGAGTGGAAAGCCTAAGGTGAAATTGCTGTTTATGCGTTTCTAAGGCTGAAACAGAAATGTTGCCATTTCAGTTGCTGTAGACAAGCTGTAAAATTACCACTATGAAGGAAAGAACCAATTTTTCAGGGTAACCCGTATTTTCTAGGCTGTGAAATAATCATTCCCAGTTCCTCGCAATCCTCGAAATCCTTCATGATTTCACAGAAACCATTCCTCTGCAGGGCTGACTTATCAAAAACAAAGAGTGGTTGTATTTACCCTCCACTGACATGGAGGCTTTCAAATCCCTGTCCAGCCTCGCTGCCCACCTCTGCACCTTTAATAACTTCACTGCATTATTAAGAGTGGATGATCAGAGGTACCTGCAATAGTCACGACTTGGGCAGAGTGGATTCCTCCAGGGGAATAAAAACATTTCATGAATCATAGAACCACAGAATGTTTTGGGTTGGAAGGGACCTGAAAGATCCCCCAGTTCCAACCCTCCTGCCATGGGCAGGGACACCTTCCACTAGACCAGGTTGCTCCAAGCCTCATCCAGCCTGGCCTTGAACACTTCCAGGGATGGGGCATCCACAGCTTCTCTGGGCAACCTGTTCTAGTGCCTCACCACCCTCTCCATGAAGAATTTCTTCCTGATATCTAATCTAAACCTCCCCACTTTCAGTTTAAACCCATTACCCCTTGTCCTGTCACTACAGGCCCTTGTAAAAAGTCCCCCCCAGCTTCCTTGTAGCCCCCTTCAGGTACTGGAAGGTGCTATAAGGTCTCCCCAGAGCCTTCTCTTCTCCAGGCTGAACAAGCACAACTCTCTCAGCCTGTCCTCATAGCAGAGGGGCTCCAGTAATGAATTAACAAAAACCCTTTGCATTCACTCAGCATCAAAAACTGAAATAATCATTTTTTTAACATAAAGCAGAACTTGGTTGCATTATATCAAAGGCACAGTAAGACAGTAGGACAGTGTATTTTTGAGAGTAGCTGTAGGCATACTTATGCCTTCAGCAGCAGAGGTGTACCACTTACATTCGACCTGTGTCTAACACCCTGCACTGTGCATTTTCCAGGAAATACTCTACAGTATCAAGCAGGACCATTATGAGCTATGGTACTGAGAAATGGGAGGCACAGGAGAGTGGGTTTTTACCTTAAGGAGTTTCCAATTACGTTTCCCATTTCTTTCCCCAAAAGTAGAATTCTTTCTAAAATTTAAAATGTTGTTATGCATCAACAGACACATCTATACACACACAGACCCTCTATCTCTTTTCACAACCTCTATAATAACTATTATGCAGCAGCGATTTACTGAGTTTTTGGTTATCCCATAAACTCTTCTTAAAAAGATCCGGAATCCCATTTATTCTGCTCCAGAACCATCTCAGTGTACCAGAACACCACCATAAGCTTATACCAGGAATGCTCATACCGTTTCTTTGTGCAGTCTTGAAAGGAAGTTTTTGAGTTGATATCCTCTCCACACGCTGACCAGTCACTACACAGACGGGAAGATTCCAGCGGAGGGGGTGTACTCGTAATTGCTCCCAATAAGGGGGAAAACAACTGCGTGTCCATTTTTTGTTTCTTGCTATTTACCTATGTTGAAAAGAGAAGGAAACATTTTTTAACATTAAATGTTTACGTAAATGAGCAGTAAAGGCAACAAAGTAAACCCTTCCTTTTATATCTTGAGCTAAATAATTTTACAGGAAAATGAAACATAGCTATGACAAAAGGATACAGACTAACACTTGTTCCCTCCCCTGCCTTAAAGTAGTTCCAACCTGAAAATTGTATGCATCTTCTAAAAATAAGTAAGTAAATATTAAAAAATTGCCCACTATACAATAATAGGAATTCTCTACAGATTTCATGTTGTGGTTGTTTGCGTGTCAAGTTCACAAGCTCAGAATCTTCTAGCCTGTATGACTGGGAATGAATGTGTCACAGGCACACACATCCCTTCTGAGAAAACAAAGGGAAGAGCAATTATTCCTGAAAAACATCCCTGAAAACACAAATCATTCCAAAGAGCCCACACTAAGCAGGGAAAGCCCTGAAAACACAAATCATTCCAACAAAGAGCCCACACTAAGCAGGGAAAGATATTTGTAAACTTCACAGAGCAAAAGATAGGTAAGTCATCGCTCTTCAAGTACTGGTCCAGAAAAGTCTTTTCTATATAAAGACTGAATTAACGTTGAAAGAATAAACAATAGGTCTAAGTAGCGTGGTGATGTCGTCGTATCTCAACCAGGAATTGTCACGACAGAATCTGTGACTGATAAAGGTTTAAGTGGAATATCAGAAACTATGTCGAGTTAGAAAGGACCTCTGGGGTCATTTAATTCCCTGCTCAGAACAGACCCAGTTAGATCAGGTTACTCAGTCATGCCCAGATGAATTTTGAGATCCCACCACCTTTTCCATGGGCAAATATGTCTAATATCTAAATGCTGTCCTGGCTTAAAATAAATAAATAAAACTGAGAAGCACCTAGACCACCTTCTCTATAACCTCCCACAAGGCAGCTGCATGCACCCATAAGACCTTCCCTTTCTCTTCTCCAGGCTGATCCAACACCGTGCTCTCACCCTTTCCTCGGACAACTCATTCCCCAGACCACAACCATTAAGTCTCCACAGGGCTCACTCCAATACCTTTCTGGTACTGGGGAGCCCCAAACTGGACACAGGCTCCAGCTGTGGTCTTACAAGGGCAGATCAGAGAGGATGATAACAGCACGCACTCCTGCTGAGACAGCCCAGCATAGGGGTGGCCTCCTCTGCTGCATGGACACGCTGCTGATTAAAGGCCTAGCTTGACCACTACATCCTTGTTGATTAACTTTTGCAAGTTTTCATTCTAGGAGTAAAACCTCAAGCTTTCTTGAACAACAGAAACACCCCAATGTTTTATGACAGAACTGAACTAGGTGCCCTTTAATCCTTGTAAGTAAAGACATCCAGTCACAGTTGAGTACTTGTGGTCCTGAAAATAACATCTGGGAGACTCAAAAAACACAAAACCAAGAAAAACCAAAACAAAACCAAACAAACAAAAAAAAACCCCACAACCAAAAATTCCAACCCCAGCAAAACCACAGATGCAGCTACTGATACAAGATGCCATGGATCAGGTGCAGACTGGAGGTGACTAACATACCACTCTGTGCTCAGCCAGTAACTACCAAACTGTCCTAAGGAGACTTCTGTTCCCACCCAATTCCAGAAGCTTTTCTTAGAGAACTGAGTTTCTTATGAGCACAAAGAAAAACACCACTCAAAAGAAACTTTTACTGAAGGAAAAGCTTCCTTACAAATACTAATATATTTCTCTTCAGCTCCCAAAGAACGCAGTAAGTTGCCGCCACCCTGCCTGTGAGCACAGAGACAGCAACGCCTGGGAGAACACGGGAAAAAGTTTCAGATGAAATGACTGAAACTTCCAATATATTTACACAAAACTAAAAACACGTCTGAGGCCACAAGACAACCTGGAAGTTGTATGACCGAGCTTCACTTGGATGCGTTAGAAAGGTTTGCAACAAAGTGATGTGCACGTCATTGCTCTAGCAAACCCCTTCTGCTAAGCAGGTTTGCCCTTTCCAAGTCTCTCATTACTGAGAGAAGAAAAAAGTAAGAGTAGTAAGTGAGAGTCAGCTGATCTACTACCCTCACATGCTGAACTTTGGATAGTTGGCTATTGAAGATGGAGAACAAGAATTTTCTTAGGACTACGAGGATAAAATTAACTTTTGTCACACTAGTCATTGTAAATACAGCTGGAAGAGCACAAAAAAAAATCAGCTAAAAAAAAGAAAGCTATTTCATGAAGATGGTCAAACTAGACTTAGATGCAAGAAATGAAACCGTTTATTAAATAACTTTATTGAATAACTGCAGAAATCGCAACCATGTACTTACTGAATTCCTGAAAAGGAATGCAGCCTTATGCATCCAGTCTGTCCAGAGCTACTTAAAAAGTTTATTATAGCCAGAGCCACTTTGTAAAGTTATTTATACCTAAACAAACTAAAAGAACATAACTTCAATATTGATCATTGCACCCTCTTATGCTCCATCCTTTTAAAAGAGAAAACGCCAAGTAAATTTAATTTTGCTCTCTGCCCCCTTTGCTGAAAAGTAGAGCAGGAAAGCTTGCTTACTACAAACCTTTGGCCAGAATTTGGTTTAGTGAAAGCTGCCACAGACTCAGATCATCTCCCTTCTGGGTCTTGACTGAAAACATAGTAAAGAACTATTACGTTGCCAAGTGAGCTCCTACCACCACCTTCAGTGAATTTTTTGAATTAAAGTTTACCCTGAGGGTTTATCACTTGCTCTAAACTTGTCTTACACATCCGAAGAAACCCCTATTAAATAACAGAAGTAAAGCTACTAAAACCCTGCAAAGGCCACACATATCCTGTAACATTCCATACAAACACACAGTCAATATCTGTATCATTAGAGACAAGAGCAACTTCCTGGCCCAGAGACTAAACAGCATGGCAGTGCTCAGGTGACACAGGTAAACTCTTACCCTGCACAAGAGGAGGAGGGTGGGATCCAAATTATCTGCTACATATTAGTCCTGAACCACACACAAGTATCCTTCAGAAAAGCAATAGCTGACCAAGGCCAAAATTTTAGCAACAATTTAGCAGTATCAACAAGCACATGCCAATGCCCTGGGCCTGGTCTTGTTTAGTCAACTGGGAAGCAACACACAGAGACAAATTATGCTCCTTGGCTGGAGTATCAAATACTTTTGCATAGATTAAAAATAGGATCTGTAACTAACGGATTTGTCTTTTATTTTCAGAGCCATTAATCACTGCTAATGTGAGCTGTGCAGGACAATGTGACTGAGGATCAGTAAAGGAGGTACTTCATGTACCCAAGATACAGCCTCATCACTCAGCACTTCCGAAACCCCGGAGTCTGTCGTCCTACCCAGTTAAACAGAATTTCAACATAACTGAGAATCTCCCGTCTGTGACTTACATATGAACTACTAACAAGTTACCATAAAAAAAAAGGGATGAAACAGTGCTTTGTACAGTTTGTTTTACTTTCAAAATTCTTCACCAAATTTCAGATACAGCCATAAACTCCATAACTGGCTTTGCAAAGAACTACCTGCAGAGGCACCGGCATGTTTCCTTCAGAATTCCAACCTTAAAAATCCATGAATGAAATGCTATGTCCAAAAAAAAGAAAACCAAAACACATACCAAATGACAACTCCCACAGTCTTTAGTAGGGCTTTTACTTCATTCTTTCCACCCTGCAAATCATGGGAAAACCACTGCTCTCACTAAATTACCCCTCAAAACAAACTTACCACATCTAAAACCCGGATATCTTATCTTAATGGATTTTCTTTTTTCTTTCAAAGCTTAAGACACAGCTTCTGTTCTTTCCTGGAAAATGGAAACGTGCATGTACTAATCTTTTGAAACCGAACACGCTTTTTTCCAAGACATTTAACTTGTTATTAAGTGACATCTTGTCTTCAAATGCACACGGAAAGCTTTTAACTTCCACACGAAGCTCATCACTACTGAGGAGTAAGCAAAGGGAAGTATTTACCAAAAACATTCACTGTTTCCAAAAGCCTCATGCTGTTCTTCGTATTTAGCAGCTTTTCCAAAGTTTCTTTTCTTTCAGGAGAAATAAATTAGTAGAACTTCATCAGTATAAAGTTAACATCTCAACTATAAATATACATAAAACTACGTATGAGAGCTATTAGGCACTGATATTGTTATGGTATAGAATCATAGAATAGAATCATGGTTTGGGTTGGAAGGGACCTTAAAGCCCATCCAGTCCCATCCCCCTGCCATGGGCTGGGACACCTCCCACTAGACCAGGTTGCTCAAAGCCTCATCCAGCCTGGTCTTGAAGACAAAATCATTTGTGACACGAGGCCTGTGCTCCACTAGACACCGACTCACTTTTTGCTATCTGGCTCCTTTGTACTCCTGCTTTGTCCAGGCTGCTTGCTAAAGATTTGCTGCTCTTACATAGACAGTTTTCACTACTCCAGCAGTGAAGGCAAAGACACTGAGGAAGGCTGTTACTCCTTCAACTACTTTTCCTGCTGTCCTCATGCTCCCCAGGCAAGTGCCAAGCCAGCACAGCTGCCAGGCAAGCAGAGGCAGATGTAATCTCCAGATCTCAGTAAAAGACTCAATAAACAGTAAATGGTACTGGGAAGAGAGGATCCCGCGTGGTAGAGATATTACAGGACAGCTGAGGTTAGAAGAGACTTTTGGAGTCAAGGTCGCTGCTCAGAGCAGGTTGCTCCAGACCTGGCACAGTCAGGACATGAGCTCTGCCAGGGAGAAACAGGACAGCAGACGCACAGAACTGCCACCACTGTACCTTCAGACACAGACAGGAGCAAAATTCCCCACAGAAAGAGGTTTCTGCCTCACCACCACGGCTTGAGATGGGCAGCCAGGAGACAGAGATCTATGATCTTCTGAAAATCCTCTGGGCAAAGATTTAGCAGCGCTGTGAATACAGCGGAAGACTCAAATATTGTTTCTCATTACTGGGAAT